AGGCAGGAATGGCACTGTGGGTTTCAGCCCTGTTAACCACTGGAGCAGCTGGAGGTTGGATCAGAGCTTGATCCAGCCCAGGGAACTGTTGCTGGAGCAAAGACTTTGGATTTCATAGTCACTGATAAGCTGACTAATAACCAGTTTGTGAACCCACTCACTCTCCTGGCTGGGTCAGTCGGAGGCTGGAGGAGAACGTGCCTGACTGTTAGAGTGGATGGAGGTAAGAATACTCCACAGGATGCTGACTCAGCAGGCACTTGTCCCACCCATCCACCCACTAACTCTCATGGAATTCCCTATGGCACTGTGGCTGCACCACCTCTAGTCACGCCTGAGATGAAAAATTGTTAGACACCTTCCTTGTGCCCTTCCTTTCCTGGAACCTGTGAAAATCAGGCAGTGAGCTCCATGTTCTGAAAGGGTTTTTTTGGCCATGGAGTGAAATTCGGTGGTTTACCCAAGCTGCAGGGAGCCAGTTCTGCCTTGGTGTAGCAGCACATATGGCCTTGGAGTCCGTGGGCTGCCTGGGGTTGTGTTGGGTGATGGTGGTGAAGTTTCTTGCCTTTTTAATATCTTCATTAGCAAGTCTGGCACTAAATGTAGTGATATTCTCTGAGGTGAATTTGGGTACTTAAATATCCTGGCCTGAATAGAGGTACAAAAATAGAAGCCTACAGCTCTTCTGTGCTTCTGCTGCTCTTCCCTCTGAAGGACAAGGCTGAATGCCTTCATCCTGCTGGGAAAGCAGGTTGTGTTATACCCTCACTCCTCTGCAGCCTCCCTCCTGGGAGCTCAGGCCTGGTTTCCATGCCCAGAGGATGGTTTCTAGCTGGATTTGTGCCCTGAAGATGCCCAGACACTGGAAATGTGTTGTTTCACACACTCTCCTCACCCACTGTCCTGTGCTCCCCAGCTATGCTGTAGTGGAGGGTGCTGGGTGCTCTGCAGGTGAGTGGGAGCTGTGGTTTTAGAGGTTTTTTGCTTCCCATGCTTCAAACATGGAGTTTTTTTCTGGGTTTGCAAACACCCATGGGTGTGTCAGCTCTTGGGGTTTGAGCTCACCCACATTTGCCTCCCAGAGGGCTCCCCAGCTGGTGAAACAAGACCATGGGGGGATCCCATCCGAGCACATACCAAGATGAGAAGGGGAAAGGGGCTGAAATCCCCTGTGGGGTATAGACTGGGTGGCTTTTGCCCAACTTTTTGCTGTGCTCCTGCTGTGAGATTGTGTGGCCTGGAAAACATTCCAAGCTGGTGTTGGTGGCCACTCCAGACATGCTGCTGGCACAGGCTGGTGTGCCTGGACTTTAGCTCTCTGACTGGGCTGGATGAAGGTGCAGGAGGAAGGATTCACAATGCTCTCATGGGGATTTGGCTCCTCAAGTGTGTGTGAGGGACAACCCAGAGATGTCCTGCGTGGGCTCTGCACAGCCACCTGCTCATGCAGCTGTTGCTCGGTGCAATCTAGCACTGCCAGAGCAGGGAGAAAGGGTCCAAGGTGGGTAGTTCTTGCTGGTTCCCCTGGGTGCTGGTGGGGATGGATGTCCCCCAGGTGTGGGGTGGCTGTGGGTGCCAGCCTGGCTCTGCCACCACTGCCACTGTTAGTTCTGTGTAGCCCCCCCAGCTCTCCTGTCCTCCCGTGACCCCACAGATCCATGTCCAGCACTGTGGATTCAGGGTATTTAGCTCCCTGTTATCTCCAGCAGCAGGTCCTGGCATGATGCTCCAGTGACCTTGGCACAAATGGGTCATCCTGGGGCTGGAATGCTACAAGCCTGAGGAGAGCTGGAGCTGAAGCTCCAATTTTCTTCAAATCTGGCTGCTCTGTGCTTCTGTGGTTTATTTTTCTAGTTCTTTATCCTTTGGAGCATTTCACAGGAGGCTTCTGCTCCTAACCCGACACTGCTGCTGGGGAACAGTTGCTGTCAGCTTTAATCCATCTCATTTTCAGATGGAGATAACTCCCAGCTGCTGCAGTACTGCTGGTGTAAAAGAGCCTGGCTGGCCTCGGGGCAGAGCTGGGCTCTCCAGCACTCACTGATGCTCACATTTCTGGCTCAGCCCTGCTCCCTCCGAGGCTGCTCCAGCAGCTCGTGGCACCCCTGGGAGGTGTTTGCCCCACGCTCTTGGCACAAGGGGCAGTGCCAGGGCAGCTGACACCATCGCACAGAGCAATTTCCATGTAGAACAGGGAAAACTTGGATGTTCCTCACGCAGCCTCTTAGCTAGTTATTACTAGCCACTTCCAACAGCTTCCCAAAGGCTGGAAACTGCCACGAGAGGGCAGGAGCTGCTGCTGCTATTTCTAGTTTGGGTACCAAAGGTTGTGAGTAACAGTTCCTAAGGACTATCCAAATGATTTTCCTTTTTCTGGAGGGTTTGATTCCCAAGCTGCTCTTTGGTCAGTGCCCTTGGCTGTTTCCCTCCCAGGGTGACAGCAGGAAAATCCCCATGAAGTGACCACAGTCCAAAGCTTCTCCAGGTCAGGAGAGCAGAGCAGAACTGCTGCACATTCTCCAAATACCTCCCAGGCTTCCTTTGCCTCCAGCAGGTCCCACTCTGGGTTGTGATGGCTTTGCAGCCTCTCCTGTATGTGCTCTCCAGGAAGACTTTTTCCTGCCCATCTCGAATGGTTAATGACCAATTTCAGTGTCTGGGAGAGATTTCAGCATAACAAAACAGGAGCTGCAGCACCAGCAAACAGCCTCGTGCTGCCATCTGTGTGTCCAGGGGCTGGGAATTTCAGGCCAGGTTTGAATAGAGAGGAGAATGATTAACCAGGAAATGAGCAGGGTGTTACAGCTGCCTGGAGCGTGGGCGAGAGGAAATCACTCTGAGCCTCTGCTGCACAAGGCTCTGCTTCTCTGGGGTTTGGCTGTTCTTAAAGCATTGGTTCTTCTAACCTTTAACTGCAGTGAACACTACATGGATCATAAATCCCTTCCTTGTTACTGTTTTCCCTCTTGGCAGCAGCATCATGTCCATCTTTACTCCTCTGTCACAAGAGCAGAGATTCTCCCCAGGGTGAAACAGCTGCAAACACTCCACCATGTCTGAGCAGCACAGACTTCACCCAGGGAGAGCTTTCCAGAAGATTATGAAGGCAGCAGCAAGGCTTTGTCTGGGAGAAGAATGTGTTTGTCAGAGATACCAACAGTTGCCTCTTGGACCAAAGGAATACACTCAGGAAACACTGACTGCAAACATCACCCCCACACATGCCTTGGGTAAGGACTGAGCTGTGCTGGAGGGAAGCACTCACAAGCTAAGCACAAGCCTTGAGGGAGGTGTGTGAGGGTCTTAACAACATGCTGGAGACACTGCAGAGTCAAAAAACACCCCCAAAATCCAACTAAGCCTAGAGAAAATAGGTAAAGCCCCCTAATAATGCAGGTGGCAGTGTGGGATCTGCTTACAGAGCCACTTAGCTTAAATCCTGGTTTATGGAGTTTGGGATATTTACTTTTTAAACGTTTTTTTCCCCCAAGAGTCCTGGCAGCTTGGTTGGGAAGGGTGAAGCTGAGTCAGCTCTGGTAGATCTCAGTGGGATTAAACATCCAACAACTCCTTTGGAACAAGAGCAGTTCAGGAGGTTGTAGCTCCAGAGCTGTGACTAAATTCCCTGTGTCCCTGTGGGCTCTAGGTTTGGGCTTTATGTGGGTTTAACAGGTTCCTCATGCCTGGAAACTCTGTGGAGCAGTTGTGCTCTGATTGAAATGGGGGCAGGTAACTGTGCTCAAGGGAAAAAGGATACTTAACCAGTAGTAGGTTTAATGTTTGCCTGTCAAGAGTTTCAAGCATGGATACTTATCCTGCCACTGTAGCTAACTGCTTCCCAAATACTTCTGAAAAGGAAACAAAACTCCTTGTGGCTCCTCTGAGCCAACAGGAAATACTTATTAATTTGGATTCCAACATGACTCAGTTCAGAGATTACAACAGTTGCCAAAACAACTGGTGGAGGAGCTTACTGGAAGTGTAGAATCAACAAAAACAAGATGGGAATAATCTAAGAGGTGAAAAATCATCCATAACCACTTTGGGAAAGTATTTATGCATCATGTAAGAGGTGCTAAAGCTCACAGCAACTTTGCAGTGATCACAGTGTGTTTTCAGAAATGGTATTTATTCAATCTCAGTGCTCAGCATGAAACAAGAACAATCTCTGGCTGGATGCTTTGCTGCTATGAGTCCTGGAGGCTTCATGGTTCATCACTCTGTGTCAGTACTTGCATTGCTACAGTTTTGAGGTCTTGGTAGTTCACTTTTAGGGTGGTATCATCATCCTCTCAGTCACCTCTTGGGATTTGCAGCCAAACACAAGAGGTTACATGTCCAAAACTGAATATGAAAATGACTAAGCAATTAGTCATTTCATTGTAACATACACTTCTTTCTTGTACCTGTAAGAATAGCAGAGCTTGGATAATTTAGGGTTTAGAAACACCCATTCTGGCACAGATCAAAGGCCTCAGCAGCAGAAAGACAAACATCTATTTACACAATTCGGTTTATTCAGCCTAAAAGAAGAGCTTAGAGGGAGATACATTTCACTGGGTCATTTTTGGAAGGTGCAATAATTTCAATTCCCCATTGATACCACAAAAAGAATTACTGAAAACATGTACCGTGCAAAGAACATTAGTAAACAGGTCTGGGTTTGCAGTGATGTTTTAAGCACATGAAAACAGCTACAAGTCTAAACTTTTCATTTTATTAATGATATACAAAGTGTGCAAAAGGCTCTTATAAAAATATTTTGTGACAGGTCTGAAACAGCCTGAAACTACTCAGAAAAATGCTAAATATTAGCTGATGACATTCATTTACATAATACTTCAACCTGCAGCTTACTAAGAAGATTATACTTGGCAATTATTATCATGACTTTGTGTTTCTCTTGGAATAATTCTCTCAGTTTAGCCACCTTCTCCTTTCCCTAAAAAGCTGAAAGTGCTGAAATTCTCTGTGAGCCTTTGGTCCTGTCCTGCCTGAGCTCAGTACTTGTGGAGCCCTTGAGGCACAGGCCCCAGTGAGGGGCTCTGCATGTCACTGGAGCTCACGTCGTAGCCCAACTTCTTCAGGTCTTTGGTCATGATGTTGAAGGAAATGGTCACGAAGCCTTGAGATCTCACCCTGGTCACTAGGAGAAAGATGATGGGAATAAAACTGGTTAAATGAAGTTTTGGAACTCCTCAGATATCCAGGGAAGCTTGTTCTCAGCTCTTTTAGATGGATGGCCAACCTGTGGCACAGTCAGGAGCTCCCTGGGACTTACCTTCTCGTCCTTCTCCCTGTGCTACCACCTTGGGGTCGGTAAATTCCGGACGTCTCCCTGTGAACCAGCTTGGAGAAGGAAGGAGAAAAGAATTAATTGGATTGTTTAGATTGATGCAGTTCATTATAGGCACATCAAAAACTCCAAGTGGGAGTTATTGGGACTCTCAACTTTGGTTTGCAGTAGAGTTTTGAAGATTGATTCACTTGATTGATCTGCTTCAATCCAAGATAAGTTTTGTCTCTCTAAGGAAAACAATGAAACTAATTTCATACACATGGTGTCAAATCCAGGTTGTTTCTGGGCTAGACAGAATCTTTCTGTGACAAAGACGGTGAAAGTGATTCAGCTCTTGATTACCCAGAGAAACAGAGAGGTTTGGATACTCTGAATACATAGAAAAACATACAAATTAGTGTAGGGCCTACAAAAAGGGAATCAGAAAGAGAAGAAATCAGTTGAACCCTGACAATACCATGGAAAGAAATACCCTCTATACCCTCAGTTGCTGTGTACAGACTGCTCTTGGGAGGGAACAAGACAAAGGTTATAGCAAATGCATTCTAGATGGGAGAAAAGGTAGAACAGGAATTGGTTTTTCATGTTCTTTGCTTTTCAGGTTGATCCTAATGTGGTTGTCCATCAAAAGAAGCCCAAAGAAGATGAAGGTAGTAAATTTAGCACAGTAAACAGGCAGCAAACATGTTTTAAGAAAGCTTTTCAAAAGACTCAGACACCTAAAAATGTGATTTCACCTATGAAACACAAAACTATCTGGTTAAGGCACCAAGTGTTCCATGTCTGCACCACTGAGTTGCTGATGTGCCTTTGTGACTAAGAGCAAGAAGGACTAAAAAGAATTAAAGGCATTAATTACTACCTTGTAAACTGTTGCAGCCTCGATGTGGACTCTGGAACAAACATAGCAATGGTTCTCGTGTGCCTGAAACACAACATGAGACACAGAACTTCAGAAGTGAAGGAAACAGCAAGAGTTTTTCTATTTATAAATGTTATTTATAAAGGCACCAGAACTGCTGACACATCTGAAGGTGTAAGACTTTCCCTCCCACAAAGGAAGGGTTTGTTTGCTTAGGAACAATGTATCTTCCTCCATTTCCAGTGGTGGAATGAAAGCTTATCCTGTGCTGGGAGTGATGGGGGAGAGGTAATGCACTGTGCTTCAGCTTTGGGCTTTTTACATGCCAGTTTTGACTTAAAGTTGTCCACAGGATTACCAACAATTACTTGATGACCAGGGCTGCTAGAAAATCCCAAGCTCTTTGTATCAAACAGACAAGACATGAGAAGGAGACACAGCAGCGTTTTTGGTTCTGAAACAACAGAGTAACTGGAAAAAAAATCTGCATCACAGAATCATGCAGGTTAGAAAAGTTCTCCAGGATCAAGTCCAACCTGTGACCCATCACCATGTTGTCAACAAGAGCAGAGCACTAAGTGTCATGCCCAGTGGTTCCTTGAACACCTTCTCAAGGATGGTGACTCCACCACCTCCTCGAGCAGTTCCAATGCTTGACAACCCTTTCTGTGAAGAAATTCCTTCTGATGTCCAGCCTGAACCTCCTTTGGCACAGCTTGAGGATGTTTTCTCTTGTCATGTTGCTGAAACCATTTCAGTCCTGACAGACAGGTTGTCACTCACCTTCCAGGTGTGAAGGGCACATGAACAGCTCCATAACCTCTGACCACATCGTTTCCAAAGAAGTCAGGTCCATAGACACTCAGAACAATCTGTGGCCCTGCAAGAAAAGGGGTGTGAGAGGGTGCCTGGTGTGTGGGCTGTATCCCACCCCCAGCACTCACAGCCAAAGGGGTTTGTGCTCTTGAAGGTGATGTCGATGGGGAAGTTCCAGACGAGTGTGGTGGGTGAGACATCACTCGTGGAGGTGATCTGGGAGATTCCTTCCTCCAGGCCCTGTGGGGGGCACATGGTGTGAGCTGAGGGTCTGTGCTGAGCCCACACCTGCTGCTGGCAGGCAGGATGGGGGTCAGGGGAGCACAGTGGGGCTGTACCGCTGTGGGAACCCAGTCCTGGCCATAGACGAAGCAGAACTTGCAGTAGAGGTCATCAAATCCAGGGAACTGTGGGAGAGATAAGGGAGTGTTAGTGGGAATCGCTGGGGCTGAAGATCTGCCCAAGGCACTGTGCTGAGGGCAGCCTGTGCCAGCATCACCATGAGCCAGCCCAGGGGCTTGGATCAGGGCTGGGCAGGGTTGTGGGGCTGAGACTGGGATGTGTTTGGGGGCTGAGATTGGGATGGGTTTCGGGAGCTGAGACTGGGATGCATTTGGGGGCTGAGATTGGGATGGATTTGGAGGGCTGAGACTGAGATGGGTTAGGGGTCTGAGACTGGGATGGATTTGGGGGGCTGCGACTGGGACGGGTTTGGGGTCTGAGATTGGGATGGATTGGGGGGGCTGCGACTAGGATAGGTTAAGGGAGACTGTGACCAGACTGGGTCAGGGATCCGAGACTGGGATGACTTTTAAAGGG